AAGGAAGGAGAAAGAAAAATGAAAGAAAACAAAGTTAAAAGAAGATTGCTATTTTAAGCCCAGTAAGTTTTGGAGTGGTATTGAAAAGGCTGATGAATATGCCAGCTAGATTATATTAAATATATTTATTATTATAAATAATTAAGCATAATTCATTATATAGGGATAAGAGATACATATCTTTCCATAAAAAATATGAGACAGCTTTTTTAAATGAATATCTCTGAAAGATCTACTAATAAGAAACCCTTCAAGAAAAAAGAAATCAAACCCAGAAAGAAATAGTTGGATGCTAGAGACTAATCAATATATTTGTAGACTAAATAAATACTTACTGCATAAAATAATGATGACAATGACTAATTTTTCTCAGGGTGGGTGTTGAAGATAGTGAAGATCTACGATATAAAAAAGCAATTACAGCCGGGTGCAGTGACACACACCTGTAATCCCAGCAGCTTGGAAGGCTGAGACAGGAGGATCACAAGTACAGGAGGATCACAAGTTTAAAGCCAGCCTCAGTAACATAGGAGCTAAGCAAATCAGACTCTAAATAAAATACAAAATAGTGCCAGGGATACGGCTCAGTGATTGAGTGCCCCTGAGTTCAATCCCCTGGTACCAAACAAAACAAAACAATTATAGCAGGGAGAGGCATGATTTGAGCTGAGTACCCTACAAAACATAGTTTAAGATGAGGACAGAGATTCTAGTTAACTTCAAATAACTAATTTAATATAGTAGACACTAGCCCCAGGTGGTGATCTAAATTTAAATTTAATTAAAAAGCCGTAAGATTTAAAATCCAGTTTCTTTAGCTTGGAAGTCATCATTTCTTTCCTTAAAAGAAAAATCTAAGAAAACAGAAAATTGATGTTTCTTGGACCTAAAGAGACTACAGCTTCAGAGCCAATAATAACCCTGAAATCATGGAGACAAGTGAATGCAAAGGACCACACCCAAGATCAGCTTACCTGAGCAGAAGCCACTAGAGTCATAAATTGTTAGGGATGACAGTTTAAGTGGTGATTTTAATTAACTGCTGGAGGCTGTACACATACATTCCTGAAGTCAAAAGTCATGGGATGTCAAGAGTGTCAGGGTGTTACCAGAGGAGAGATAAAGCTATAAGCCTAGAAGGTTCTAGTTCTAGAGATCTGGCACCAAAGTAGGGAGAAAACGGAAGAAATACTCAGGCCTTTCTCTTCTTCCACACTACCATCTCTTTGGCTTCTTCCTAGATCAGCTAAACCCAACTGATATGAATGTATAAGGTACCAACAGCTCCTGAAGAAACAGCAAACTATACATCATTTATCATAGATTTGGAAACATAACTCCTCAGAGGTAATGATGGTACAGGTTGATTATCCCTTATTAGAAATGCTGAGAACCAGAGGGTTTGAGATTTCGGGGGTTTTTTTGTGTCAGATTTTTAAAATATTTGCAAATATATAAAATATATTGGAGATGAGACTCAAGTCTAAGCACAAAATTCACTTATGTTTTATATAAATCTCATGCACTTAGCCTGGAAGCAATTTTGTACAATACTTTTAGTGTGCCTGAGAATTTTGACTGTTATTTGAGGCCAGTAGGAATTTCCCACTAGTATCACCATATTGGTACTCAAAAGTCTTGGATTTTGGAACATTTAGAGTCTCAAGTTTTCAAATAGGTGGTTTTAACCCTACAGGTATAAAATATACAGGTAAAATATTTAATTATATAAAAATCTTATGACATGGATACGGAAAAGTTTGAATAACCTAAACAAGGAATACAAATAACATAAAGTTGAACGAAAACATAAAAACCTGCAACCTTACCATAAATTTGAAAGTAAATTAAATGATTGCAATGGTATGTAAGTAAGTATGTATAACTTTTTAGGAAATTATGTATGCTATATGGTTACAACTGTGTAAAAATGCACTAAGGAAAGAAGGAAATAGTTGGATTTTTGTTTGGAGAAATTGTGGCAATTTTTTATTCAATTATATTTAATTTCTATATTATTTTCCATTATATAAATTTTCCTTATTGAGCATAAAAATATCTTTAAATTATCTGATATGTCACCAGAAAAATAAAGCAGAAAAAAATTTTCAACATTTCAAAAAGTTTTCTTGTGATATACAAAAGGACATAGTTATCTTTAAGGATAAAAATATGTGAAGCTGACATACAGAAGATGTGTGTATATAGATATACTATATGCACATATGCAAAAATAATGGAGAAATGACCTTACAAGAATAGCAAATACCTATAAAACTATTGATGAGGAAGTGAGGGTAATCATAAGAACATCAGATTAGTATTCAAAATTTTAAAATTCTGAACAAATATTATTATAACTCCTCTTGTTTTCAAAAGGTATACTAGAGCTTCTTTTCCAATGTGCATGTTTGTTCATTTTTTTAATTCAAGGGTCTTTTAGTCCTTTTAGTCCTTAACAGTCTTTCCATTACTTTTAAAAGGAATAACTTTTAAATTTATTCATTTATTGACTACACATACAACATATACCTGATCCTGATATCAAATGATCTTTTAAATCATACACACTGCTAATTATTACATAAAATAAATGTTAATAGCACATCAGCCCATTGGGTTTGAGGACTTAGGGTTCATCTGAATAAGAAAGGAGTTTCCATCTCATGGTTGTATCAACTTCTTCATCAACATTTTCAGGCTCTGGCTTCTTAAAAAATTCCAGGAATACCTAAGAGAAGAAAAGAAGGAGAAGGAATAGTCAGGTTGTAAGCTGTCTTCCAAATAAACAGAAAAAATGCATGTTGCTTGCAAGTAAAATTTAGAGAGATGATAGAAAGTCAAATGGCAGACTCACCTTTTCCAGCGTGCACTGAGAGAGGCTATATTCTTCCAGGTTGAAGTTATGTTTAACTGGTGGGAAAAAGGACTAGGTATAGATGCTGACAATTTATTACCAGGATTTTTTCCAAGTCATATGAACTAAATCTGCAAGTTATTAATATAAATATTTTTTTGCAGAAGGATGAAATAATAAACATCATAAAGAGTTAATATAAATGCATACTAAATTCACCTTGATATTAGGGTTTTTTCATACATTGTCTGATAATATGTGTTGTGATATTAGCATATGTGTTTGGGGAACTACACATGTTCCTTTAGGAACTACATCACTGACATATCCTTACTACATAAGGAATATTTTGTTCTTGTTTCACACCCATCTAATACTCCCTTTAGTAGGTTCTGCCACACCAGGTCTCTGCCAGTCTTCTTCACCACAAACTCTGAATGACATCTGTCACTGGATTCACATATTCACATGTTCATGCTTTATCAAGTACAGCCTAAGAATCTCCTACATGAAAGGCGCTCTCAGATGCCAGAAACAGAACAATAAAGAAACAGGCAAAACCCTCTGCCTTTGTATTTGCATCTTAGTGGGGATAATATGGGCATTAATCCATGAACCCTTAAGTATATAACAGAGTAAATTATTATAGTGGCTCTAGAGAAAAAGAAAGCAGATAACTAAATAGGGTGTGCTGGGCACTTTTTTTTAATAGGATGTTCAGGAAGGTCACAGAAATAAGGTGATCGTTGAGCAGAAACCAGAAACAGTGGAGAAGCAGCTTGGATATTTAGGAAGAATTTCAGAATACAAAGTCCTGAGGCAGGAACACTATGTATGGCAGCATTTAGGAAGAGCCAGGAAGTCCATTGTCTAGAGTGAAAGGAGCACAGCAGAGATTACTTATTATCTCAAGCACAAGGAACCAGGCACAGTTCTAGGTACTCGAAATTAACTTGTTGAATACTCTGAACAACCTGGCAAAGAGGGCACTGATATTATTCCTCATTGTCGAGATGAGCCATCTAGACAGGCAGGTATCAAGCAATTTTTACCTAATGTCTCTTGGGTAGAAAGCAACAGCAGTGGCATGGGAACCAATAAGACTGGCTCTGGACTCTGAACTCTTCACCACTATGCTGTGCTGAGAAATTACACCACACTGGTCTGCTGCTGAGAATGACCCACTTGAAAGCAGAAAAATGATAGCAAGTAGCAAGAGAAATTATGCTCAGTCAGGGAATGGCCTGAGCTATCATTCAAAGCCACAGGAAGGCTGAGAACACCAGCACAGATATGAGGAGGTTGATGGACAAACGGAAGGTTTCTCTATTGCTTTCCCTTTATTAGTGAAATATAAAACAAGGTCATCAACTGAGGGAGGAAAGTGAGAAGGAGGTAGATATGGAAGGAGAAGAGGGGTGAAGCACTCATTAGGACATGTGGTGTGAAGGACTGTGTATAAGTAGGAAAAGCAGGCCACACCAAAGGGCTTTATGAGGGTAATGTTGTGGAGGCCCAGTAAGAATGGTCAAGCATGGCTGTGTGTTTTCACGCAGTTTCCCTTCCTGCACTGCAGATTAACCTCCTTCCAGACAGCTGGATTAATTATTGGTATGATTTGATTGGGAGGGATCCCCTGAAAAACTCATGTGGTAATGCAGAAATATTTAGAGGTGAAATGATTATAAGAGATATAACCTAATCAGTGGATTAATTCATTTGATGGATTATTCACTTGAATGGATTGCTGGGTGGTAATTGTAGTCAGATAGGGTGTGGCCAGAGGAAGTAGGTCACTAGGGGTGTGTCATTGGAGATTATATCTATCCCTGGCTCCTTGCTTTTTGTATTTGCTTCTGGGCTGACACAAGCTGACAGCCCTCCTCCATCAAGCCCTTCCACCATGATGTTCTGCCTCACTGTAGGCCCAGAGCAACGGAATTGGTCCATCATGAACTGAACCTCTGAAACGGTGACCTCAGAATTGAAAATTTCTTCCACTAAATTGTTATTGTCAGGTATTTTGGTCACAGCTATGAAAAGTGACTAACACACCTATCATCATCTACAATTACCATTCTTAAAAATCATGCCCTGCTGGGTCTGTTTAAAAAATATATCATACAACCAATCATCTCCAACTAAATTAAAAGTCTTGATCCTTCAAGAATTTTGTTTAAATATGGTCATTCTTACCTGTTTCTAATTTGTAAAAGGCCTGAGATAGAGGGTAAACATCTGCTATGGGCAGCTTAAAGGTCAACAAGGAAGAAAACCTGGGAACAGGAAAATGTCATCTTCAACTCAGAATCTCCATTGAGGGGAAAGACAAGCATCAAAATAAATACTGCTATTATCACTAACTTCCTTTTTTTAAAACAACATTTTTCTTTTTAAAATAAAAATGATAATTTATCATTCATCAATGGAAAAATTTAATCATTTTTGGTACCTTGCTATTGTAGATTCTTCTAGTAATGATCTGGCATAGTTACATATTATGCTGAGTTTACCCAAACTGTTTACTTGTTACAAAAAAATATTCTAAACTTTTCCCTTTGATGAAAGTTCAGACTTGTCACCAGAAAGCTAACTTGTAAACAGAGATTGAAGCTGGGAGAAAGGGACATAAAAGACCTGAAGACTTCACTGGCCTCAAAGGAACAGTCAGAATTGATTTGGGACATCTTGTTTCCATGTACTACTTCTGGTTGCACACTCTCATGCCCTCTTCTCAGCTCTTTCCCAAATAGAGGTTGGTGCTCCCACATGGCCCAAAGGTTGACGACACCCACAGGACAGGCTCCCTACAGACCAGTCCCTGCTCCTTCCATCATACCATCCATGGTCTTCCCATGTATATCAAAACCTCTTGTCTAATCTACGACACCAAAATTCTAAAAACAGGACTGAGTTACATGCCCTGAAGCATACCTTAGATAGTCAATTACATTTGCACTTTGCTAAAATAAAAATAACAATTTTTATATCCTGTTTCTTTGATGTACTTGTCTTAAATTCAGCTCTCACTCAACCATCTTGTCCTCCCCCAATCTCACTCGCGCACTCCCAAGCCTTTTCTAATAAGGAAGAGTCAACAAATCCTTTCCTGAGGTCCCTAACTATGATTTGAAGTGAAATCACAATGAAGTTCTCCCAGAGCAAAAAAGAAACCTGAGGGTAAAGCCCACACCTTTCTTCAAAGTCAGAACCCTTTTCACCTTTCCTGCTGCGCAGCCTGGGGGAAAAGATTCAGAATCTCGGTGTGGATCAAAGGTACTTGAGAAGGCTCCTTCACTTTGAGTTCTAGAATGTAATCTTTGCCAAATTTTCTTTTCAGGTGTTGGATGGAACCAATGCATCTATGGGTAAGAAGGAGAACATGTTGGAAAAAACACTACCACTAACATTTGGATGCAATTCTTCAATTTCCAAGGTAGTGGAAAGGGAAAGGAAAGGCTCCAGCTGCTCACTGCAGTTCTGCCCTTTCCACAGGGATTCTGTGTTAGGTGTCAAGTGCAGGCTCTGGAGTGATACCCACCTCAGCCTTCCAGACACCATGATGGCCACACGGTCACACAGAGCCTCAGCCTCAGCCAGGTAGTGGGTGGTCAAGAGGACACTCTTCTCAGTGTTCTTAACAGCTGCCTGGATTGCCTGCCTGAAGTGAGCCAAGACAGTAACAGCATTTAAAACAAAAACACAAAACAACACTGACTGACAGAGAACAAAACAGAGGAGAATTTTTATAGATAATTTTTAAATCTTATCCAGATTCTAATTTAAAAATACCAGGGAAAACTGAATACTATGTTTTGATAACTTAAGGGAAAGTTTTTAATATTTTTAGATATGCTTATCTTATTGTTGTAAAGGTTTTTTTAAAAAATTCTCTTTATCTTTTGAAGATACTAACTGAAATATTTATAAAGCAAAAGGGTAAGCTGCCTCATGTTTCATTCAAAATACCTGGAAGATAGGGAAAGGAAGTAGATAAATGTGTATGTGAAAAGTTGGCCTGATATTGATAACTATTGAAACTCAGTGATGTATACAGCAGATTTGTAAATCATTCTTTGTACATTTGCATAAAATTTCCATAACAAAGGAGTTTTTAAAGTTGGAAAAATATTGGATTGTAATAAATATGAAACTATACTGGAAATTTTATTAATCCAAAGAGTAACTCATAGAAAATAAAGTAAGAAGAGGAAAAGACTGAAAAGTTGAATAAACAATTTTATAAATTAAAAGGGGAAGAAAGGAGGGGCTGGAGTTGCAGCTCAGCTGTACAGTGCTTGCCTCACATGTGTGAGGCACTAGGTTTGATTCTCAGCCTCACATATAAATAAGTGAATGAAAGTCCTTCAACAACTTAAACAGTATTTTAAAAGGGGGTACAGAAAGGAAATGATGTCAGTAAATTAACAGTCTCTAGGAAAACAGAGTAGAAGGAGATAATTGTAAACATCTCAAAAATTAAAATATATTCCAAATTAAAATGCCCCAAACTCTAAGACTCCAACAAAATATTTAGGATCTTTTCTAAGCCTAAATACTAGAAAAATATGATGCAGATTTGCAAAATATATGTTTGCTCAATAATATGAATTATATTTGCTATGGTTTGAATCTTGAATGTCCCCAAAAGCCCATAGGTTAAGGCTTGAACCTAGGGTGGTGCCATTGGGAGGAAGTGGGACCTTTAAGTGGTGGGGCACCTAGTGGGAGTCTTTGTGTCCTTTGGGGCTTGTCTTCCTAAGGAGATTGTGGAACCTCAGCTCCCTTCTTGCTTTCTTGCTTTCTTTGCCCTGGCTTGTGAGGTGAGCAGTTTTGCTCTGTCACACGTTTCCACCATGACGTGCTGCCTTGCCACAGGCACAAAGCAATGGGGCAAAGTGATCATGCACTGAGCCTCCAAAGAGATGAGCTAAATAAATCTCTTCTCTTCATAAGTTAATTCTCTCAGGTATTTATTATAATGATAGCTGATGAATAACTAACACATGATCTTTCCATTCTTGTGATAAAATAGGTAGGAGAATAACTTTAAAAGGATGAAATGTTTATTTTGGCTCACAGTTTCAGAAGTTTCAGTCCATATTCAGTTGGCTCTGTTGCTTTGGGGCCTGTGGCACTGTGGATAACCATGGCAGGGAGCATAGGATGGAGCAGAGATGACCACCTCATGGTGGCCGGGAAGGACGAAGAGAGACAGGAGAGGCCAGCATCCCAGTATCCCATCCAAGGCCATGCCCCTAATGACCAAACTTTCTTCCACTAGGTCACACCACTCAATAACATCACAGGTTGGGGACCAAGCCTTGGGCCCTTTGGGGGATATTCACGATCCAAACTATAGCAGCAGATTAGGACACAGTCTCCACTGAATCAGACACCAGTAGATTTGAGTATTGATTTCCAAGATCAGTTTATAGGCACCACTTCACAAAACATTTATACTTATGGCTCTGAGGCTTATGATAATGCTCACCAAATCTGTTGCTGCCCTGTTGGATCTATGCCTGTAGAGGGTTCATCCAGAAGCAAGATGGGTGAATTTCCCAGGATGCTCAGCACAAAACATAGCTGCAATGTAGAGAAACACCTCTGTTTGGCTCCATTCCACGCAAGCCCTCAGAAGAACATCAAATATCACATGTACCTTTCTTGTGGTCCCTGATGCTAATTTCTGCACTGGAACATTTAGCTGCTCATACAGGTTGAAAGCATTCACTAGTCTGATAGAAAACAGGATAAATATATAAGGACAATTAGGAATTTCTGGAAAATGCAAGTCTACAATTCTAACAGAACTGAAGGAACATATGGCCATACTATTCTCAAAATGCTAAGTCATGCCCAACACTTTAAGTCATGGTAAAGAAAAAAAAAAAAAACTATTTACTTTGGAATACAATAGTTTTCAACTCAAAAAAAAAAAAAAAACAGTTTTAAAGAAAAACTAGAATTCTAGAAATCTGAATGAGAAACTGAAAATGGATGTTTATTCAGTTTCCAGTTTTTTATTAGAAAAACTGAAATGAATGGTTATTCATGATTTCATTAACTTATTCCTTGGCAATAATTTATATAATCATTTTTTAAAATTCCCTCTTTCAGGGATGCAGGAAAGCATGTCTTGTCCTTCATCCCTGTTCTACCACCAATGCTCTGAAAAGGTGTAAATGCCTTCCCACTCTCCACTCTTTATTGGTGAGTTCATCATCAATGATACAGCTTCCCTGCCTCTTGGCAAAAAGGAATCGCAGGACCTCTCTGTACCGTGAAATCACAATGGCAGCGTCCTCTTTCTGCAGCCCTTTCACAGTGGCATACACCTCCAGGTGTTCCTTCATTGTCAGGGTGGGCCACAGCACATTCTCCTGAGGACAGTACCCCAGGAACTTGACCATGCCATCTCCCTGCTGACCCAGAAATGACTTGCATTCCCCAACTCTCAGTTCCACCTACAAAGGTAAAACAGTTTTAAAAACATGTAGCCTTTTCTCCAGTGGTACAAGTAATCAAAAAACTGACACATAGCTAAAAAATGCCTAAACTGTCAGATCATCAAAGGAATACCCTAGAAATTGCTTCATATTTATTACAGAAAGCATGTACTCTATTAATATAAAATTACATTCTGACACGTAGGGGGCTGGGAGACATAATAAGCTTCAGGGGTTTCCAAGATATTGTGATGAAGAAAAGGTACTTGGTTTCTGGGGACATCCCAACTTCTTTCATAAACCTTTAAATGCCTGGTAAAAGTAATAAAAGAGAAAAAATAAAAATATCTAAAATACAAAAAACTACAGACTTACAATGATATAACCTATATTGATCATGAAATTTCTGTGCTGGGATTAGAAGGCATTTCTTTGCTTCTCAGTACCTGTCCTGCTGTTGGCTTTGTGATCCCAGCTATCATCCTAATAGAAGAACTTTTACCAGCACCATTGGGTCCTAGCAATCCCAAAACTTCACCTGCAAAAAAGAATCAGATTATTAATAGTGGAGGTGAATTCACAGTTTACATAAACCTGTTTCTTCAATGTAATCACATCTGTGCAATAAACCTGTTTCTTCAATGTAATCACATCTGTGCAACTGACGGTATCATTTTATAATTTTTAATACATACGTAATCAATGTTGCCAAAACATTGATTCTTGTTTTTATATAAAATATTAGCAAAAAGTGTATGAAGTTGATGTCAATACATTTATCTTCATTCACTGAGACTTCCTATTTCCATTAATAATGTACCTAAATTGTTTTCTATAGTAGTACAGATATAAGTGATTCCTATATCTGGGAAGTCAGGGACACTTCATCCCAAATCCAATTACCCATGTCTAAACTACTGTGTCCTTTCTTCCATGCTGATATAAATTCAGGAACAAATAGTAGTCAGCATGTGTATTTTCAAAATATGAATTAAACCATGAAACGGGCCTGCTAAAAGTCCTCAAATTACAGTCCCTAACTTGGAATGAAATATGAATTTCTAACTGTTTTAAAAATCTTATCCCACCCACCCCACCCATTGTTTGATTTCATCCCTTCTATTCTCAGATGCACCCACTGGCCTCTCTGAGACTCAAATTCTCCTGCTATGTTGATATGAGTCCCTGCCCTTGCAGTTTCCTCTACCTGGGTGCACTTATCTCTTAATGTTTGCATGGCTCACACCTTCTTATCACCAGATCTGACTTTAATGTCACTACCCCAAAATGTCTTCCCTGACCCTATTCAAACACTGCTCCACATCACATGTCATTTCAAATATTTCAATTTTCCACATTAACTTACTAAATACCTGATACTTTTCTTTGTAAGTTATTTTTATTTATGAATCCTCTTCTAAGATGAAAAACATGCTGGGGGAGAAAATTTGCCTACTTTCTTCATAATTCCATTTCCAGATCCTAAAATGACCCCTGGTACACTTAAAAAGCATGTCTAATAAATGAGTGAATTAAGGCCTTTGCAAATTAAAGAATGCTGACAGAATAGATGTTCAGTGGCTATTTCCAAATACAACAGTCAATTCAAAATGTGGTTACTTCAAACCTTTTTTCACACAGAAAGAAATATTTCTTGCTGCTATTTTCTTCTTCCTCTTTGAAAAGCAACTTTTCCTCTGGCCTGCATACTCTTTGTGTAGACAGCTGGCAATTATGACTGGATTCTAGAAGAGATAACAGCATGATTTGTTGCTATGATCTCCCTGCTAGGACCTTTCGTGAATTATGTCATAGACAACACCATATTTTGAAAGAGTAATCCATAATGTTTATTACAAATGTAATATGCATTCATTAGCAAAGAATAGTGTCCTATTTCTAAATAGACTGCGAAAATATGAATTTCATGGAACACAGCTCATGACCTTGCCAGAACAGAGTGGCCAAGCTCATGGAAACATCATGACCTCCAACTCACAGAATGAAAGACTAACCCTTAAAATCTTAATCTCCACTTAGTATTTTATAACAAATCTCACATTAATTATTCAACTCAAGAAGATTTGTTCAGTTTTAAAATGCAAGCACTAATTGTCAAAACTCATTTTCTCAAAAGAAGAATAAAATCATTATGTTTTGTGTTCTTTTATCTTCCAAAGAAGTGTCTGCATATTTAAGGATTAAAAACACACAAAACTCCAAACAGTCAAAATGAAAACCAGCATATGGAACTCTAAGTTGGATACTTCTTGGGTATTTCCAATAACATATGCTTTATTTCTTGCTTTTCTACCTCATTTATGTTTGAAGTGGTCAGGGCACTTGATGCTCTCATTCTTTCTGCTTGAACATCTTCATCTTCATCTTCATCTACATGTATTTCTGGATTAACTGGAACATTTTGAATTTGTGGGGAGATTCTGGAGAAAAACTGAAATGTTACATGTGGTTTTCCACTTGTCAAAGACATATCAAAAGTCAGTGTTTCAGCCAGATGTG